ATATATATATATATATATATATATATATATTATTTCACTTGGAAAATATCAATAATGGGTTTTTGAGTTAATCATACTTTTGGAGTATTTGATTACATAAACGTTGGTTAAATACGTTTCATTGCTTATGATGGCTTTTTATTTAATAGTCAATTGAGTTGTTGAACTTTTGGCTCAGTTTTGACTCAGATGAGTCTTGGAGACATTTGTCCGGATTAACTTGTTCTATGTCGAGATTTGGAGTTATATGTAGTTATGGCAAATTTATTTGAAATGTTATATGCTTTGAGTGTGTGATCATTTTTTTGGGGTCATGTAATTTAGACTATAATGCAATTGATCCATAGGCATTGGAGTTGGTTTAAGTGGAATGAACTTCCCGTAATTTAATGTGAAGTAGGCGTTAGGTCTTCATAGTCAATAAGGTGTGGGCTCTTTGAGTCGAGCATCGGTCATTGACAAACGAAATGTAATTTCTTGTGAACGAACCTAACTAAGATTTTTGGAGATCCTAGGGTATAGACCTAGTATGTTGAACTTGATGACTATACAAGCAATAGACATAGAGTTGTTGAGCTTATTAACTTATTAAACTATAGAGCTGTAGAGATTGATCTTAATGAATGTGTAATCCGTAAATGACACTCACATGACATAGATATATGATCTACTTTTGTGTTTCGTCGCACTCAGTGGAATCGGGTCTCCCCGTCACTGAAAGGTGAGTTCTGGATGTGATATTTTATCCATGGTTTCATGTTATTTTGGGTATGAATAGTATTTACGATTTGACGATTTGGATATTGTTTACTTTTTTATATTTGGTTGCTTTTGGATACTTGAGTTTTATTCATGTTTCCAGTATTTGAACATCAAGTCTTGTTTTGGTTGTAATGAGTATTGAGTTTTAGTTTCATATAAATGGGTGTTTTGATTTATGAGTTTTTCATCACGAAATGGTGAGTTTCGAAAGGATGTTGCTTTACGATAAAGACATTTCATTTGACAAATTTTGTTTTAAATAAACAGTATATTAGTTTTACCGCTTTATAATCCTAATATGTGATTTGATTATAATTGAGATATGATTCTCTTAATAAATATAAATGTTTAATCAATTGTCTTTTAGTATTTATTACAAATAATGATAAAGTCCAATCTATTTCCAATAAAATAGACACGAAATTGCATATACACGTTTTACCAAGAAATTGAGTAAGATGAAGAATCTAAAGGAGATAAAATGACCCACGAGTTTGACAAACAAAACATTATGTGCCCAAATACAACCCGTCTCTCTCTCTCTCTCTCATTTCGTCAAATAACTTACATGCATGTTTTTTTCTTCTCCTCCCAAAGTTTCTAGACATATAAAGTGACTTCAGTATCACAGTACCAGAAAGACTGTAAGTGACATCCTATAAGTATAAGCAAAAATCCTCATCGTAAACAGGAACCTATATGAACCTGCGAGCCCGTTTATGAACTATAGTTCGCATTCATGAACTATAATGAAAGGAGAAAAGGATCATTAGTGTAAGATGGAGAACAACAACAACAAACACAAACGCATCAAGCCATAGTGAAAGACCAAGAGACGACGAGCAATAATGAAAGACCACGAAACGATGAGCAATAGTGAAATATGAGACAACAAACAACAATGAAAGACCAAGAGATGATAAGTAATGAAATATGAGACTTCGTGCAGTAACATCATAAAAGATGAAAGGATCAACCATGTATGGTTGCAAAGCCATCCATTTGCTGAAGGAGGCGTGACGATCTCTAAAAGAGAGTGTATATTCGAAGAAATTAACTTTTTTTTGGAGAGAATGGTAGGGATAGAAAGTTCATGGCTGAATGAAATAAGCTCACCTTAATCAGTTTTATGATTAAGCTATCATCTTAATGAATAAGTCATAAATTAACAATTTTGTATGATTTACCGAAGAAGTCATACATGCCATTAAGCCCATTAAGACAATATCAAACAACCCGTTTGTTTTGTTGTGGTTACATGATTGCATAGGTGAACTTCTCCGCACAGACTTTTTTGGATAAGCAAAGAAACCATACTTTTTTGGGCCTAGATAAGATATATTCAGACTTTGGGCGAAAAAGGGTCTAATCGGGCTTATTTGAGCCGGAGTTCATAACTACTCTTTTTTGTGCATGAAGTCATCACAACGAGTTAAAAAAAAAATGGGTGTTATTATATGCCGTCTTATTTATATCAAAATCAGATCACATTATACATTAAAAATATAAAAAACAAGTGTTAATGTTAATATATAAAGAGAAAATGATATCATCATTTCTCATGTCAAATGATGAAGTTTGATGGGGTGGATGGTTATTAAATTTACTTTTCCCAAAATGCCCTCCCATCGTTGGCTAATTACCAAAAAGACCACCTCAAGCCTCAATCCCTTGGCCCTTTGGAAACCAAAATCAAATTATCTCAGTGGTATTCTTTCACCATTTTCGCCAGTACACAGCAGCAGCGAAAGACAAGGGTTTTCTTCTTCCACCATCAGGTATCCCTCTCCCTTTCTCACTCTTTCTGTCTCCGTCTCTTTCGCTATCTCCGCCCTCTTCCTCTAGCTGTCTTTATCTATTCTTCATTGTCTTCTTCTAATGCACCAAACTTGTGATTGTAACCCTAGATCTGCCATCAATTTTCTTCTGTGTTATAACTTCGACATAGAATTTTTTATTGATTTATGTATGGTCTTTTTCTGATGAAAATTTGGCATTTTTATTGGTGTCGAGTGAATACGGTTCAAGTTGAATTACTGTAAGTTAGATATAATTTCATAGAGTTTTGATATGTAGCGTAGTATGTCGATATATGGGTTTTGGTGGGTTTTTGATCAATCAACGATCGCCCTATTGTTCTTGAGATCTTTGGGCATGGAACTCTATGAAACTTTGAGAAGAATTGGCAAGGAACATGAAATAAAAATATATCATTTTTATTTAATCTGCCTACTATTTAACTAAGTGATGTGTTCTACAATCTTTGTTAAGGGAGACTGTAGCTTTTTTTTCTCCCCTTTTACCTTAAAAGATCCCCCTTCCTTCCATTTGCAACTTCAGCCACATTGCTTTTTCCAAGATTCCTAGAGAGTGCAATGGGATGACTTATGCAACCCATTTTATATTAATCGAGTCTACACATAAATATTTTTGGGTTTCTATGTCATTCATTGGTTAAAGAATTAAACTGTATCTCGACCTGGCTCTTCATCTTAGCTCTATGTGTTAGACCCCTCTCCAGGTTGTAAGGATATTGCAAGTAGTATATATTCAAGCATTCAGATGCCTACCATTACATGTCTCCACTAATCTTTATTTCTATTTGATGTGCATTTCAGCATTTCTAAGAAATTTCTGAGTCTTCTAATTAGTATAACTGCAAGCTGATGTTTTCACAACTCCAACTTTGTTTGTGGTCTTCAACCCGGAATTCTTATTGTCTTTTGGACTCCATCATAGTTAGGATGTGTATTTGCAGGTTTTGAACTCCTCTCTATCAAAGAATGTTAAAAAACCAATAAATTGTTTCTAATAAATTATATATTGCAACTCTTAGCCTAAAGTTTCTTATGCTGTTTTCTTCTTCTTTATTTTAGCAACTAAAAGCAACTTCTCAGCTTATTCAAACTTGTTCATCTGCCTCAAACTAGTTCCTGAGAGCTCCAATAAACCAAAAGTTTGCAGTGCTTGAAGATTCGCTTATGAGAATTGCATTGATGATCTAAAGTTCCCACATTAAGGTATTGTGCTACATACTAATAGGATCTTGAAGATATGATATTTCTTAATGTTAAGAGTTCTTCATTGAACTGTTTGTCTTAAAGAAAATGTTTTAAATTTGAGTTCAATTGTTTACATCGGAAGTTGTTCATGGGACCTACAACGAAGAACTTGGGGATTGGCTGCTTTAACACAAGTAATTTATGTAAGTCCGTTTGCTTTTCTTCTATTCAATGTTACTCTTTGATCAGGGGTGTAACAAGGAAGATATGTTGGGCAGGTCCAAAAAAGTTATGATCATTAGAGATTATAGTCAGGTTCATTTCATTTAGGATGTTTTCATTAATCTGCATCACAGCAACTCAAGGCTGTTCCCAGCCCTTCTCTTTCTTGACCCCTGCCTGCGATTGATGTTGTTAAGCATTGAATCATAGGGCTTTTGTTTCTCTCTTTCATTTGGGTTTTCCCTTGTTTCTTCATGGTTTTTTCAGCTTTTATTTTTCAAGTTGCTACTGCTCACTTTTTGAATGAAAGATGAATAAGTATGCAAGTTGCTAATTAGGATACATATCAGGCGTTGGTGCTGCAGTTAGGTTAGTAAACCATTTTTTTTCTGGTGTCAAGTCATTGCATGTCTTTTGTTAAGCCTCTATCAGTTCCCCTTATGGTGCTTTACAGTTTTCGGTTTACTTCTACGAGCTGTGCAGTTGTCCTCCAACTGCACTTCCATCTCTGATGAGTTTTTGTGTCGCACAGTTTCTCATCTGACGTCAAATCATGTGCTTACCTGGTGTTAGATCTTCTAAATCATCCTCTGTTGCAGTCTTACTAGTGGCTTTCTTGTAACTTCTCCAACCTCTATTTCAGTTCTCTCTTGTGAATTGGTCATCATGTCTTATTACTCATTTTGACAATGATTGTTTCCTCCTATCCCATCATCACTGCCACTGAGCCAACTCAGGCTGTTAAGGGAGAGAAGCTTTTCATCTTGTTTGAACCTTTAATCTATTTTGCGGTTGCAATTTTTTTCAGCCTAAAACTTATTGGCTTTAGCTTTTACAATCAAGGGCACAAACATGTTAAAAAGGGTTTTGATATGCGTATCTTTGATGGCATTGCAGAAGAGGAATTGAAATTAGTTAGGGGGAGAGAGAAGCTTCTTTTGATATATTCTGTAAAGGACATTTTTTAAGTACTGGAGATCTGTTTGGGGAGCAGAAATCGTCAGTTCATTCTAATTTGAATAGAATGAGTGATGAAGTTTGTTTGTTAATGTAGTGGAAGGTAATATACTTACATTGGATATTGGGGAATCTGGGAGAGATGTGAGAGATCCTTTAGTTTTCTGGTGTAGCAGGGTCTCTTTAGTCCTTGGCCATAGAAGTTTTTGGACCACATCAATTGCCGACCATCGCAGCTTTCAGCCACCTGCATGGTGTAGTATCAGGTATAGATTTTTGGGTCTAACAGAAGGCTATAATAACAGGTTTGAGCGGCAACAGATTCCTAATAAAGCAGTGTTTTAGAAGCATGAAAGAGTACTCATCTTGTTGTCCTTGAATTACCTTGCACTTGCTATGTTTTACACCTCTGGGCAAGTGGTTTTTTTAGGTATCATTGGACTTTGAAACCATCTCACCAACGTGCATGGTTAATTAGTTGTTTGGTAGTATTTTGCTGCAGCTTGTGGTTTTTGGTATTATGCTTTCATGTTTGTAGGGTGTTTTGACATACTTTTTTTTATGTGATCCTCCATATGATATGATAAGAATGTTTGATTATAGTTGTTGTGGGTGTGTAGAAGGACAATAGTTATGCAGCAAGAAGTATTATTATGCTCAAGGGAACTTTATAAGTTAAGGAGTGGGGAATATTTATGTGATTGTATACATGTATGTGGTGTTGTTGGGTTTAGAATTTTGACATGCAATGCTTTCTTTTGAGACAGGATAAGTAGTGATTTGGATTATCAAGGTTTGATGGTTAGTGATTTAGCTTACAGAGGAATCATTGGGGTATTAGTTTTATTATCAATGTTTTTCGGAGAGGTTGATGCTTTTAGTTTTGGAGGTGTAAGTTTGTAGAGTGTTGGTTGTTTGGTGTAAACCTTTCGAAATGTTTGGGGACTTGTGAAGCATATACATAGGTGTACACAAGATATGGCAGGAATTGTTGTTGGTCTTGGAAGACTTTGTGCTCTAATTTTGCAACTTTATCACTCAAGGTGAACCCAAATCTTTTTCATATATAATATCTTTATTATTGTGTTAGAAATACATTCATCAAGTACAAGAAAATGAAGGTTGCACCTTCAATTTTCAAGGCGCGCTAAACAATATGTTGATGGTCAATCTGTTATTACTGGCAGAAGTTTGCTATTCTTTTTTTATTAATGTAAATAGTCATGGTCATATAAATTAAAGAAAGTCAAGGAGAAAAAAAGGCAATATAGATAAAGTTATCACTGAACTTTTATGGTTAATCATGATCCTAAGAAACTAAAAAGTATTCAAAGAAAAAAAAAAGGCAGATAGATATGATTATCACTAGACTTCCATGAGGATATCATTTGCATGCTTGAACAAACATATTTATCAATTACATATTGTACTTTTACAAATCATACCAATTACCCCATTTAGGCTGCTTTTGGTACATGGGACGGGACGGGACAGGACAGGACAAAACTCATTGCCCCATGTTTGGAGCAACATAACAAGAACTCACTGTCCCACGTTTGACGCGACATGGGACAGGGACAAGAACTGGGACAAGGTGGGACAAAAGAGGTTTTTTCTTGTTCCACCAAAATAGGTGGAACAAGATGGGACAAGAATGGGACATAAACTAAAATATTACTAATCTATCCTAGTTTGATATATAACCTTAATATGGTATTTATTTTAATGGTCATCACCGCTAGTTTCGGCCGCCGCCACCACTACCGGCGGTCACCGGTGGCCACCTCCACCTCTTCTTCCACTACAACAACATCCTCCACCACCTCCACAACCACCGTCCTCCAAGTGCATTGCCACCTCTACCATAGTCGACCACTAACCACCACCGTCCATTGCCACCACCACTACCGCTGTTCGCCACCTTCAACTCCTCCTCTACTGCAACAACCTACTCCACGACCACCATCAGCCACCACCATTCATTGCCACCTCACCTCCACCATAACCACCACCACCACTATCTTCACTACATCAACCACAACTACCTCCTCCACCGTTGTCAACCGCTACCACCACCACAATCTACCATCTTCACGTCCTCTATAACCACCGTCGTCCACCAAGCACCACTGCCTCTACCTCCATAACCACTGTCGGCCACTAATCACCACCGCCCGTTGCCACTACTACTGTCGGCCACCACCACCTCCACCACCACTTCTACCATCAATTATATCAAATTTTTCATTCAAATTTGGTACAAATATGAAAATTATGTACAAATATTTATAAATTAAATTCTTTAATTATTTACTTTATTTGTGTTAATTATAACTATTATATAATATTTTATCAAATAACTTTTGGAGATAGCTTGTCTAGTTCTGTCCCGTCCAGTACTAGTCGTACCAAACACCAAACATACTCCTGTTATGTCCAGTCCTACCCTCTTGTCCTGTCCTGTTCTGTTCAGTCCTGTCCAATTATGTCTGCGTACCAAACGTTACCTTATGTACTATTTCAATCAACGAAAGTCCTCAATAACGATGATTAACGCTTCCCATCAAATTGTTTTTTCCTTCGTTTTCTTCTCCCAAATTGGCCTTTTAGTTTGATTAAACTTGGATGAAATTATGAATATGAGGTACCCAATATGATTGTGACAGTATAAGTATGTGATTGATAAATCTTTTGGTTGAGCCATGCAACTGGGAAGACCTTGTAAGTTCCCTAACAAGTTCATTTACTTTAACCACAAATTCATGTTTTATTACTTTCCAAAATTAAACAACATAGTGGTTTGAATTTATGACAAGTAATACAAATAAAAAATAGAGGTGTTAGATTTGTTACAAAATCCTATAAATTTTGTGTTTGGGAAGTACCAGGTTTTAACATAATTACTTAACAGGGTTGATTAAGAAAAATAGACGACGGAAAGTATTATAAGCAAATTGTCTTATAAGAATGACGAAGATTAGTCAATTGGAAACTTTCTTTTGTACATTGAATAATAGATAGTTTTGACACACATGATATCCCAAATTGTACTTGTGGCAATTAACATTTTTTAAATATTTACAGAATGTGTAGCTTGGCATCATTTTTAAAGTTATTTAATATTTAATACATGTAAATATATTATGAAGTATGATCTTGTAGTACCCATCCAGTTGTCTAAAGTGGCAAACCATGTATGAAATTCTCTCCCAAAACTAACTTGTTGATTTATTTGGTTGATGGGACATGGGAGTTGAGAAATTTGTTAAAATTTTAGTACTTAGGCAAACTAATCAATGACCTAATACATTCGTTTTTGGGTAGTTAACCATAAATTGATTTTATATTTCAAACCTAGTACTACCGAATGTAAAGCTTTATAACAATGCTACAGATAAAATTATCTTGGTGACTTGGTGTAAAGTGTCACATAAGGTTGTGGTGCCAGCTGCTTGGTAGGCAGTTGGCAATGTGCATTTGGTGTAGAATTATGTTACTAAATGAAAAATATGAGTTTGGTTTAGTAATTATACAACTCTTCTATATAAGAGAGTTGGGAATGGATGTCATACCTAAAATTTATCCAATTACATTATTCATTATATATTATTCTAATTTCTTTATTCAGGGAGTTAATTGTGGTTCACTGAAAGTGCCTGAGAAATCCCGTCCATTCTCCTTTGATTTTCTATTGTGATTATATATGGGCTGAATGCACATTTCATGGGAGGTTTAGAGGATGACGAACCACCCTCAAAACGTGTGAAAGCATCTACTAGAGAACTAAAAGGTCTTTCAAACGGTGAGTCTCTAAAAGAACCTGCAAGTTGCTCATTCGGTGCTTCAATGGCCCGACCCCTAGCTTCCCAAGGGGATGATGAAGTAATTGGTTCAAAGGGGGTTAAGAAAGTGGAATTTGTTAGAATTATAGCCGAGGCACTATATTCTCTCGGGTATAGTAAGACTGGGGCTTGCCTTGAAGAAGAGTCAGGAATACCTTTTCACTCATCTACAGTCAGTGTCTTCATCCAACAAATTCTTGATGGCAATTGGGATGGAAGTTTAGCTTCGTTACACAAAATTGGTATAGTGGATGAATCTATTATTAAGTCAGCATCCTTTATAATATTACAACAGAAATTCTTTGAACTTCTGGATCATGAAAAGTTGATGGAAGCTTTGAAAACACTGAGGACTGAGATATCACCTCTTTCAATTAACAGCAACAAAGTCCGTGAGCTTTCTTCGTTCATTTTGTCTCCAACATACAGTATAGTTGATGGAATTTCTGGTCAAGGAATGGTCAAATCAAAGCCTCGATCAGAGCTACTCGAGGATTTGCAAAAATTGTTTCCTCCAACAGTGATGATACCAGATAGAAGGTTGTTACAATTAATAGAACAAGCTCTTGACTTACAACGGGAAGCTTGCTTGTTTCACAATTCTTCAGTTGGGGAAACATCATTGTTCACTGATCATCATTGTGGAAAAGATCAGATTCCTTCACAAACAGTTCAGGTCAGGGCAACTATCCCATTCTTATTTCATCTGGAACTACATTGTTTATCCAGTTCATGATGGTTTCTTTCATGAGGAAATTTTTTGAAAAGCTTATAATAGCTAGTCAGACATGATTAAAATATTATGTCTATTGTGGTGCTTTTTTTTTCTTATCTATACCTGTCTCTTTTGTTATTGTTTATTCATATAATTAGGGGGAACCATGCAAGAATAATAAGTTCTAACATACAAGACCTAATTAGGCAATGTAAACATAAAAAGTTGGTGAAGCAGGGCTCTCCCGTATCTGGCTTATTTCCCACCAGGCAGAATAATCCCTTTTACCCTGCTTAATTGTAGACTGTGGGACAACCTAGAAGCTAATACAATGCAACATAACATAGCACATCTTATAAATCAACATAGCAGGAAAAGTTAATCATGATCAAGCAATTGGTAGACATGTGTTTTTGGGACTGGGGCGAATAAGTAGCTACTCTTTTTTAGGTTCTAAGATGCTTGTTGTCTTGGTAATTATCTTCTCAGTTTTGGGACTACATTTCATGTAAGTGTTGCTTATTCGTACTGGATTCTGTTCATATTGAATCAGGTAAAATCCAATTGAATTGGTGGTACTAGAAATAAGCTTTGCAGTAAATGTAGACAGGATCTAGAAGTAATTGTCATGTCCTAAAGGAAATTGCACTCCCACAAGTCCACCATTAGTCATTCATAGAATTTATTATCAGTATCAGTTCCTTCATGGTTTAAGTTAGGAATTGTATCATCAATAATATATGTTGAACTTTTTTGCGTGAATGTGAAAGAAAAGTTATCGAATGATTGCCAATATTTGATGCTTCCAGGAGACCTTGCAATATCATATATTGAGGTAAACTGCAACAGAGTTGACCCTTGACGATTTGCAGCTTGTTAAATGTTAATCTTGTTAGGTAAAGATCGCGGGCTCCCCTCAGAGAAACAACCTCTTTGCAAAACCAAATGAAGTACTTTATTTAAAGACTTCCCCACCCTGTACAGTAGGGACAAACTCAAAACTGTGCCTTGTTATTTTTTGCAAACAGCATTGACGCCTCAATGAGATTCTTCATCTGTTCCAAAGTTAGGGTTCACCTTTGATGTATAAGAACAAAAAGGTCAATTTTTAACTGTGATGGAGCGTTTCAATTATAGAGAAAGAACTGATAGCTATGTTGAACTATATAAAACAATAGGCAAGTTTTGCAATTAAAAAGCAAGTAATAAGAATATTGATTTACGTTTATAGGACTCTATGTTTTAACTTCCAAGATGTAAATGCGCGATAACCCTTGGACAAAGTGACTAGGGTTTTGTTTATTTCCTTTGCTTTTGCCCCGTGAGCTTATTTTGTACATTATATATTTGAGTTAATCACTCGATAATAATCAATTGAAACCGTTAATACTTGCAAATAACAGAAATGTAGCCTCTTATAGATTTTGCCTTTAATAGCAATTGTACTTTGGTCCTTCACCACCTCCATTGTCAAGCTTGCAGAAATTCTCATCTTTCATAGAACGTTATGCTGTCTGAAAACATAATCGTCTTTAGATATTACCTCAATTGCTTCCCAGGGGTATACATTTCTACATGAGATCTATGTGATGTGAAGGACTATGCAATAAATATTTCATGTACCCTTAAGTAACAAGTATACAAATATATAAAGAACATTTAAAGAAATTAAAGTTATTTGGTTGAGGATGTTCAACCGTTAAACCACATCGAGTTCAAGAACATATAAAAGTTGCAAAAAGGCTTGTCGTTGGTTTCACAACAAACAAGTTGAACCAACAATCTCGTTCTTTGTAGTATCGAACTCGAAGCAGCAGAAAAACAGCAAAATCATTACAAATTAGTGTGAAGAATAATGTGTCCATGATATGTGAATATGAGCTGGCATATGTTATACACTAGTCAGCAAGAATAATGCATCCATTATGTATTGAATCCCTAACCTCTCGATTCTTATCTGAGGCTGGTATTTTTTGGTACTGTTGAGCTACACAGCCACTTGACTTACAAAGTTGAATTGCAATGTCTGTTGTCGGTTGGGTTTAGTAGTAAACGGAACAACAAGGGCAAAAGAAAGTTAGTTCATCAAATTGAGATCTTCCTCTGAGTTCTGTTTTCTAGTTTTTCCAACAAAGTTCTTTAAACATGTGTATATTTGATTACATTGCATTTCATCAAATTGAGATCTTTCTCTGAGTTCTGTTTTCTAGTTTTTCCAACAAAGTTCTTTAAACATGTGTATATTTGATTGCATTGCATGATAACATGCTTTCATAGTCATGAGCACTGATTTCTTTCAATTACTGGCATTATAGATTTTACAAGACCACCACGATGAAGTCTGGTACTTGCAATTTTCTCAAAATGGGAAATACTTGGCATCATCATCAAGTGATAATTCAGCAATTATTTGGGAGGTAACACTTTCTCTGTCTATTAACATCTACTTACATTTTCCCTGACCTGAACTTCCTGCTTTTGGTTTCTTAAAGGTTGATTTGAATGGTAAAGTCTCGCTGAAACATAGATTAATCGGCCATCAAAAACCCGTCTCCTGCCTTTCATGGAGCCCAGATGATGATCAGATCCTCACATGCGGTGAAGAGGAAGTTGTCAGGCGTTGGGATGTTTCTTCTGGCAAATGTCTTCAGGTTTATGAGAAGGGACTTGTTGGTTTAATCTCCTGCAGTTGGTCTCCAGATGGTAAATGTGTATTCTCAGGGTTGACTGATAAAAGCATAATAATGTGGGATTTGGATGGAAAAGAGATGGAGTGTTTGAAAGGTCAAAAAACTATTAGGATCTCTGACTTGCAAATAACAAGCGATGGGAAATTGATAATTACAATTTGTAAGGAAACCATGATACTTCTACTTGACAGAGAATCAAGAGCTGAAAGATGCATCGAGGAAGATCAGATGATAGTTTCCTTTACACTATCTAGAGACAATAAGTACCTTCTGGTTAGTCTTGTGAATGAAGAATTACATCTTTGGAGTATCCAGGGCCATGTTCGACTTGTTGCAAAGTATAAAGGTCACAGACGGTCTCGCTTTATTGTTAGGGCTTGCTTTGGTGGACTCGAGCAAGCGTTCATTGCTAGCGGCAGTGAAGATTCTCAGGTATATCTTGTTTTATAAACTAACATGTCTTGCCACTTGGATATCAGTCGTTTTTTTTCTACTTTTCTTAAAACGGCCAATTTATGTGATGATGTATGACTGAGATGATTGTATAAACATGGTGGTAGGTTTATATATGGCACAGAGGATCAGGAGAGCTAATCGAGACACTGGGAGGTCATTCTGGGGCGGTTAACTGTATCAGCTGGAATCCAGCAAACCCGCATATGTTGGCATCAGCAAGTGATGATCGTTCAATACGCATCTGGGGGTTAAAACAATTACATTCAAAACGGAAAGGTAAAGAGAAATCGCCATCCAACAATGGCATTCACTATTGCAATGGAGCAACAGTTTGAATAACTTATATTTCCTTGTAAATACACATGACTTGCTCTGCTTACCACCACCATCGCCATCATCATCACCGGATATTTGTAATTGTAATTTGAATCTTAAATCCACACTTCTCTATCATCCTAATAAACATTCTCTACTGCTTTTATGTGTGGCAATGCCTACTTTAGATACTTTGAGCTAAGCAACCATAGAAACATGATGGCTAGTGTGTTTCTATTTGGAAAATCCAAATGCCTGTGGGGCTAACACTTAACACAGGTGTGGCAAACCATAGCCATCTTTCTGGTGGTTCACTTGTGGTTGGCTAGTTTAGGCGTGGGGGTGGGGAGATGATGGTTCATCGCATCAATGGGCAGCCATCTTTGTGGTGGTTTACTTGTGGTTGGCTAGTTTAGGTGTGGGGGTTGGGGTGGTGATGGTTCATGGCTTCATGCTGCAGCCATCTTTGTGGTGATGGCTTACTTGTGGGATGATGTACTCATTTGCGTTCATTTTTTATGATAAATCCCTAGTAGGCCTTACTTGTGTCCATATCAGATAAATTGAGAGATGAAAGACAGATGGTTTGAGCATGTTTGTCGGAGACCTTCGACGACATTGATGAGGATGAAGAGCGTCATGGTCAGGGGGTTGAGAAGGTGAGCCAGGTTGAGGACGTGGGATGAGCAGCTGAGGTCGGACATGGAGGCATTATAACTTTCTTAGAGTGATTTTAGATAGGAGTTCTTGGAGGAGGCGGATTAAGATGGTCGATTGTTTGTAAGACTTGATTTAGATGTCTGTTTCTATTATCAATCTCTTTTTCATTTTTATTCTCTCTCTAGTTTCGGGCTTTTTGCAATCCTTTTTAATCGTGTTTTTAAACGATAAGAATAATATTATAAAGAAATCAACATTTTAACAAAAAAGAATTGCAAATTTGTGTGCTTTCTGAATCTTTTTCACAAGTTGTAGATTTTCGAAGGACGGTTTTGATTTTTCCGAACCACCACATTAGATCACAAAATGGATTCATCCACAAATAACTATCGTTGCTCGGTTGATTTCTCGTCAAGAAACGGATATCTACAAGAAACCAGTAGCACGAATGATGGGATATCGTTTCCAATTTCCCTGACTATATAGAGAGTTTCTAAGCGGATGTAGGTCCGGTTTTGAACCATTGCACAGTCCTAGGTCTTTCTCTACAAAGATTTAACCATGCATGTATTGCAAGACTTATGAGCCATGCTTGCATAGACCATTTCCCACCACAATATCAAAAAAAGAATACCAAATTTGTGAGCCCATTAACACCAAAAGAAAAAAATTCAACTCCAATCACACTCTATATATATTGTTTTGAACAAGAACTTTGTATATGTCGTTTTCCTCCATCTCCGGCATTTTGTCGTTCTTTTTGCCGACCGGTTGGAGCTTCCAAACCGCAAACTTGCATTTTTGTCGAATATATGTTTACATATGTTCCCATATTATGTTCAAGATAAAACATGTTGAAAAAACCTAGGATGAGGATGTCAGTATGTCACGACATTACAAAATGTAAAACAACACGAGATGGCGTCTTTACCTTAATATGTACCATCTGAATTTGATCCTTAACTCTATCATGGTGTACGCTACCTTCTGTAGCACCCTAATCGCACCAGTCCAAAACCAACATGGGGAGAGAAAAATCACTGCAAGTCAGCAACTCCTTTCTGGATACCTGAAAAAATACCAAATTGGTGTCCCATTAACACCAAAAGGAAAAAAATTCAACTCCAATCACACTCTCCATATATCCTGTAAAGGCAACACAAGCGAACAACAATACCATGGTTAGGCCTGGTATGTTGGCTACACCATTGGCATGCATAAGCTTCTATTCTATTTTGACAGATGGCTACACCATTGGCTGTTCGCTCTTATCCCTACAAACTTCATTTTTCATCACATTATGCAAGCATTACATTTGACTTTCCATTCTGTGCAATACAAGCTAACATGGCATCAGGGCCGGCCCTGGCCACGTGCCGCCCATGCGGCCGCACAGGACATCAAAGCCTAAAGGGCATCAAGTTGTCATTTGTTACTAGTTTTGGGTTTAATAATTTGGGAATTGTCCAATTGAGCTTTAACTATAAAAACAGGCCCAAGGTCTAGTAGTGATAAATACTGAATGCACATCGTTGAAAAAAGTTGGAAAGTTGGAAAAGTTTTTGTTTGTATAAAGTTGTCTGTATTAATTAATTTGTTTGTATAAGTTGGAAAAGTTTTTGTTTGAGAGAGTTTTTTCGCAGATGTAAGGACCGTTTTTTTAATTGGAAGTGACATGTTTGGAAAAAAAAATTTGGCTTTCTATATAAAGCTCCCTCTAGAAGCTTATTGGATAAGTCACTTTCTATATCATTAAGCCACTACGAAACAGTCATGCATAGTATAGCGATAAGCTGTTAGTTCCATTAAACTTATTAAGTTGCTAACATAGGCCCTTAATCTTTAGTCATTAGACCTGTAACTTTTGAGTTTACTTTTTGCTTACTATGACAGTAACTTGAATATAATTTACTATCTTAGTTAAAAACTAATTATAGTTTTCCTTGTCTTTTAAGTCCAATATTGAAATAAAGTTTCTATTTTGCTAATTTTAATTTGGAAAAGGGAAAACTAGAAAAGAAGGAAGCACGATCTTAATCCAGAATTTATCATTTTATCATTTATATTTTCTATTCGGGGTTTTGGTTTTTATGTTCCCCTCATTGTATTTTTTTATTATAATTAAGAAAAATCAACATGGGAATGAGATACTTAGCTTGAATAAGTTCTAAACTCTTTAAAAATCGCATGTTTCGTTGGCTTAAAAAATAGGGTTAGGGTCATATTTTATTATTTTCGCACAGGGCATCAAAAATCTTAAGACCGGCCCTGCATGGCATGCCATGAAACCGCATCCCTGCAAGGCATGGTGTATGTTCCCATATGCTCCTCTGTCCCAGAATGAATGTTCGTATTTGTATTTTAGTTTTTTTTTTCTCAAAATAAGTGTCCATCATCAAATCTAACCTTAATTATTAAACGGAGAAATTCATTACTCCATCTATTATTAAAAGTAAAATTAGCATTTAGTTAATTAAAAAGTGTAATAATTACATATTTCTAAAACTGTTTGCCTTTTTCAGTATGCACGTTTGTTTTGGGACGGAGGGAGTATCAAGTACCTGGCTAATATTGGATTCCAAGAGACTGTTTCTCTTGGCTTCACCATGATTGCTGATGATGCCATAGCCATGATCATAATGTTCCAAGAAATCAAATTCATGCCTACAAAATGTCAAGTATAATGGTTATAAAAGTAATTTACCCTTCAATTTAACCTACCTACAAATGTAATTCACTCCTAAAGTTACCTACCAGATAACATGCAAAAAAATTACAGAAATCAAAGGAGGGTGATAGGTGTTTAACCTTGGTCTAGTTAGCCGAAGAATGTCTAGTTAACCTTGGTCAGTTTAACCTTGCTTAACAGAAGAATGTCTAGTTAATCTATCACAATTTAAGAATGTGTTTGCTTAACAGAAGAATGACTCTTTCATTCGCAAGAATGCCTAAAAACCTGTAAGGTCATGAATATAAAAACACTTGTCATGAGGTCATTTATTTAAGGAACACTTGTTAGAAGGTCATTTTGCTAAACAACCCACTAGACCAAATGCAAAGACTGTGATCAAGTATGCATGAACAAGATAGTTCTCAATGTAAGTAACTAAGTAAGATGTCCTGAGATCAAATCTCACACTTGTGTATTAGCCAATGACTTACCAGAAGTCTAAGCAAGAACAGTGGCGTCTGAAATGGTGAAAGTGGTTCCCATCTCTCATAAAGATTTCTTGGGCATATATCTTTTGAAGCAGCTTCATAACATGGTGGCGATTTCTTCATACTCTCATGTTTTTGACAATTCTAATGACTTGGTTCAGATGTAGATGCGGAAACCTAAGCAATCACAAGATTTTCTGTACGAAGTGACAAAGTTTGCTCCCTCTCTCTCTCTCTCTCTTTTCTTCTATACCGAAAAAAGACTCATCTGTATCTGGTGAATATCCATGTGTGTTCTTCAAATGCATTGAAATCGCATACCAACTTTTGGTAGATAAGATTTCATTCTGGGTGTGAATGATCCCCAGCCATAAAACTGTGCACATCTTCCTGCAACTCTATCAAGCTTAGTCCTGGCATTTTGGCTACACCATTGGCTTGCATAAGCTTCCTCGTCGTTCTTGCATCATCCCAGCGTTTTGCTCCAGCATATATGTTTGAAAGAAGTACGTAGCTGAAAGAGTTTATTGAATCATGAATTTCTGTAAGTATCATCATAAACTGAAATAAACTATAGAATAAATTACACCAATCGTCCCTGTGGTCTTGGAAAACTCTCCCAATTGGCACTCCAATTTAGAAGTTACACCAGACCCCCATCATTTCACTTTGCTTGCACCATCCGTCCCTCCCCTAGTGGGCGTTAAGTCCATCCGTTAAGTTGAGGGGCATCATTTTTATTAACAAAATGTCAACATACAAGTATGTAAAGCTTTGTACAAGCTTTTAAAAAACAAAAACACAATAAAAACCACCCCTTCCCCGTCGTCTCCCTCTATCTTCTCCGGCCACACCCTCACTCAACCATGCTCAATCACCTCACAACAAACATAGCTAAATGCTACACATTTGAAAGCATCATATATGCCATAACTATACAAACCATCATCTAAACTTAGTCCTTCTCTCAACAACTGATTGATTGCCTATTTACTGGAACTGCAAAATTTGGGAACAATCAAAGGCCCCCATAAGATGTTGACCTTGACTAAAGTTTGACTTCATGAACAAGGATAATCAGAACTCACCGTCTCATTGGCTACCTTTGATGAATCTGATGCTCCCACTTCTTTGTCATTGGCAGCAGGCATTTCTTCCAATTATCAGCTTCTGTATTGAAGCTTCTTCAACAGAATTTTCAGTTGCTTCACGTGGAAGTTGGAAGTTGTGTCCGCTTGAGTACAATCCTCGAACAGGTTGCAAGCCGTCAGCGACACGATTTTCCAACCTCCACATGAAGCAACTGAGACTTCTGTTGAAGAAGTTCCGATACAGAAGCTGACATTGGAAGACATGCGCTACCAAAGAAAAAGAAATGGGAGCATCAGATTCATTGAAGGTGGCCAAAGGGGAAGTGGGTTCTGAAGATCCTTGTTCATGAAGTCAAACTGCAATCAAGGTCAACATCTTATGGAGGCTTTTGACTGTGGCAGGTTTTGCAGATTCCAGTAAATAGGTAATCAAAGAGGAATTGGGAATAAGACCTGTGGAAACAGCTCATCTAGGTTAAAAGGGTCACAATCTGCAGATAAACAACAGCTTTTAACTCGACTGCCTTTATGGCTTAGCTGCACTGGATGGATACTACAGTATCATTAAAACACAGTGCAGCACCACCACAAGCAAAGAAGCATATTCAATGTACCACGAACTACTTGCTCTTGTTTTCTTGTCCGCTTCTCCTTTTTATCCAAAATGGTAGAAGAAAGGGGACCCTATAAATGGACCAAAGGTTGAGATTAAAGGGAATTGATCTAAACTTGATCAATGTTGACGACATCAAGGGAAATGATATGTGATCAATATGCCCATAATGTCAACTATAAGTTAATCAAACCACAAAAACAGCCACCACTTCCAGCATCCATCACCAGGTCGTCACAGTAAAATGAGCAATGCAGGATAAAATTAAAAATTTAAGAGGAACCAAGGGGAGGACAAACGATGGATAATTGTGTTTGTACTTCTTAAATTGCAGGCATTGGAGCAGTTTGAAGGAGTTATTTGGTTAAAAAAACTTCAGTTATGGGCCAAGCATTTAAAAAGGCAAATGATTAAGGAAAACAAACATGCTCTCTATAAGGGAATGAGAATATTTAGTGAGTTGACCATAAGAGAGACCTCCATACCGGCCACTATGTTGTGGTTCTAGATCAAGCAGCCGCTTTCCCACCTCCCCAGCAACGTTGGCATTCCCATGAATTCTGCAACCTCCAAGCAATGCACCCCATGTATAAGCATTGGGTTCCATAGGCATATTCCTTGTGAGATCCAATGCTTCATCCAATCTTCCAGCCCGAGAAAGCAGATCAATAACACAGCCATAATGCTCAACCTTGGGTTCAACACCATAAACACCTTCCATGGAAGACAATAGTTTCTGACCCTCCTCTGTCATTCCAGCATGACGAAAAGCACCAAGGATGGCAACGAAAGTTATGTCATTTGGTGCCACTCCTTCATGCTGCATCTGGTTGAATAGATGTTGAGCCTCCTCAGCATGTCCATGCATTCCCATGCCGATTATCATGGTATTCCAAGCAAGAACGTCTTTACTTTCCATTGAATTAAATATATATGACGCTTCTGCAATGTTACCACATTTGACATACATATCTATCAAAGCAGTACCAACAATTGAGTTAATCTTGATACCTTGTTCACTGATATATAAATGTAAGTGCGACCCTCGATCTAGAGCACCCAACTGACCAATGGCAGACAACACACTAACAACTGTAGTCTCATTAGCCCTTATTCCTAGAAGCTTCATTTCATCAAATAATGCAAGTGTTTCATTTGCCTTTCCATTCTGTGCATAACAAGCTAGCATGGCATTCCAGGAAACCACATCTCTGCGAGGCATGTGGCGGAACATATTAAGTGCATCCTCTACATTTCCACATTTCACATACCCGGCTAACATAGAATTCCAAGAGACTAGGTTTCTCTCAGGCATTTGATCGAACAGCCTTTTGGCTTCACCAAGATTCCCAATAATTCCATAGCCATTGATAATGCTGTTCCAAGAAATCACATCCTTACATGGCATTTGATCGAACACTACCCTTGCAAGCTCCATCTCGCCAGATTTCACATATGCATCAATCATCGAGTTCCAACAAACAATATCTCTCTCAGGATACACATCAAACAACCGCTTTGCAGAGCCTAGGCATTTAGCATTCGCATAAAACTTAATCAGTGAACTTTGTACGTATAAATCAGACTCTAAGCCACATTTCAAAACATGGGTGTGAACCATAATCCCAAATTCGGTCCTTGATGACACCGTACATGCCTTAATTACAAACGGAAAAGTCATATTATTGGGTTCTACACCCTTACGTAACATATCAAGAAACAAGACAATGGCTTCTTGAGGCTGGTTATGAGATACCGAAAACCCTCTAATGAGTGAATTATAGAGTTGGACAGCTGGGTTCGGTTGCTGATCGAATATGGTCTTAGCATAGGATAATAAGTTTCCATGAGGCGAAACTGCACAAAAAGACGCCAATTTACACAACTGTGGATGTGATGTTTCATGAGGAAGAAAGCTTTCCTGAGTGATGATTTGAGCATGTATTTGTTGGAACTGCCGAATGCTTTTGCATTTGCTTATGAGGTAATCGAATTGAGGCTTCAAAGACGAACATTTAATGGCGAGTGGCTTGCTGTTCATGGAAAATAAATGGGTTATTATCGTATAGAGAATTAGGTAAAATACGTCAGAGCAGGGAGAACTGAAAGATTGGCAGAGAGGCGAACACAGGTTAGACAAGAGATCAAGCGATAGATTAGAGCACTCTCAGATGAATCCATCGAGTCATTGCTACTGATAGTTCTCTTGGTTTTCATATAAAGTTCTCCATAGATTAGAGCAATCTCAGATGTCAGCAATAGCAAAAAGTGCGGTAGCTTGTAACAACTGATAAAAGCTTAATTGTTTGTCAAATAGGTTTCTTAAAATGGAAAAGTACAATAAAAACCAATGAACTTTCTTGTTTGGAATGATTAAGTCCTTGAACTTTTTTTTGGAACAAATAAGTCCTTGAACTTTCCAAAACATGTTAAATAAGTCCTTGGACAATTTTTTGGCACAAATAAGTCCTTGAACATTCCAAAATATATTAAATAAG